AACTAACAAACAAACAACTCTAAACTAACCTACCTACCTACCTACTCGTACCACTATACGTAACTACCCTACCCTACTTACTTACCTTACTCGTACTACTACACCACCACCTACTACTATAACTACCTCTCTCTCTCTCTCTCTCTCTCTCTCTCTCTCTTCCCCTGTTTAAGAAATGATTAACTTATCCAGACCAACTTCTGGTTTCTCATTCGTGAAGCTCGCTTCTACAAAATCAATTCCGGAATGGCCTCAAAAGCCCAAATTCCTCTTCTCAAATCCCATTCCTTCTTCCTCTGCAAATTTTCTCTCAAATATCAGGCTTTTCCATCACTGTTGGGCTTCAGATACGGCTCCGAGAAATGGGTTTCAAAGCAACAGAGATTTGAGGCCCTCGGCCGTTGCAGGCCTCTCTCTTGGAAGCTTAGAGGGTCCCCAATCTGTTCTCGAAGCAGTTGCAGTCTTGGCAGCCATAATCATAGTCCATGAGAGTGGCCATTTCTTGGCTGCATATCTTCAAGGAATCCATGTGAGTAAATTTGCTGTCGGTTTCGGTCCTGTGTTAGCGAAATTCAATGCCAAGAATGTGGAGTTCTCTATCAGGGCCTTTCCTCTAGGTGGTTTTGTGGGTTTTCCAGACAATGATCCCGAGAGTGATATCCCAGTTGATGATGAGAATTTGTTGACAAATAGACCCATTATCGACAGGGTATTGGTTATATCAGCTGGAGTTGTTGCCAACATAGTCTTTGCATATTGGATATATTTTTTCAGGTTGTTTCAGTGGGGTTGCCTGTTCAAGAAGCTTTTCCTGGTGTTTTGGTTCCTGATGTTCGATTGAATTCTGCTGCTGCCAGAGATGGATTACGCTCTGGTGATATTATTCTCAGTGTAAATGGTAATTCTTTGTCTAAATCCAATTCCTCTGTTTTTGAAGTTGTTGATGTGATAAAGAAGAGTCCTGGTACGAGCGTCGCGCTGAAGGTAGAGAGAAAAAATGAGATTTTGGAAATTGGGGTCACCCCAGATTTGAATTCAGATGGAACTGGAAGGGTTGGGGTTCAATTGTCTGCTAATTCTAGAGTTTCAAGGCTGAAACCCAGCAATCTCGCACAGGCGACGGTCTATGCTAGCAGGGAGTTTTGGGGTCTTTCTATGAATGTGTTGGATAGTTTGAAACAGACCTTTTTCAATTTTTCACAATCAGCAAGCAAGGTGTCAGGGCCTGTAGCCATTATTGCTGTAGGAGCAGAGGTCGCAAGATCAAGCACTGATGGCATCTATCAATTTGCAGCCATTCTTAATCTTAATCTTGCGGTAATAAATTTGCTTCCTTTACCTGCTCTTGATGGTGGGTCATTGGCTCTTTTACTTGCAGAAGCGGTAAGAGGGGGTAGAAAGATCCCCCAAGAAGTTGAGCAGAGGATTATGTCATCTGGGATAATGATTGTTGTTCTCCTGGGGGTTTTCCTCCTTGTTCGTGATACCCTTAACCTCAGTTTTATAAGAGAAATGTTGTGATGAGCTGTTCTAGTTTTATCGGATTAATGGCTTCGCACCAGAAGTGCACTGCTATTTTTGGGATTCCCATCAGTAAGGCTTACTCTAGTTTGGCTGATAGGCTCCTTCCAAGATAGTGGGGTGTAAACTATACAGAATTTAAGGCTTCTGCAAGCAGCACCTTGAAATATAAGAGCATGGTGAATTGCTTTACCCCGTTTGGATCGTGCAGTGTTGTTTGTCAATTGCTCTACCCCGTTTGGATCGTGCAGTGTTGTTTTTCAATGACCTTCTATCAAATTGTGAATTCCTCTTGAGAATGAATTTAAACTATCATTTTTATTTCTTCTCTGGATACCTGCTACCATTATCTACTAGCCACTTGTCATTGGAGACTTAGGATATATAGTTCCCATGTAAGTACATTATATGGCTGGACTTTTGTAAGACTGCCAAAGGATGAAGATTGATAGCTATCTTTTGTCAAAAATGATGGCTATTCACTGCCCTTTGCTTAAGGTATAAATTTGGTGGGAATAGCTTATAAAAGATACCGTGTTTTTGGAGGTCACAGTTGTACTTTTATTGCCCCAAGAATCCAAGCATTTCATCTGGTTTCACTTGTCTTTATGGCATTCTTCCTTTTCTGTTGTGATTGACTTATATCCTTGAGAGGGATATCAGATATTCTTGGTATCAACTAATACTACGCACTTGAATTGAATTCCTATGGGAGCATAATTATATGACACTTTGAATAACCATCTAGTCAGTCTTTCTTGAAATTTTTGTGGATGTTAATTCCCCTTACAATGGTTCCGAATCCTGCTGGTGCTATCAATAAGTACTATTCTGTTGCTGTTGCACTTTGTCTTCTGTGTTCCTTTACTTGTTTATTATCTCCAAAACTTCCATTGGGACACATTGAAGTAATTTGGATGCACATTGTACAAATATTGGCTAACTTGTCTCACTGCTGGTGATCCTTGTGCCTCTTATCTATGTCTGTGGTAATATTGATTGTTAGAAGAACTGACAATAGCCAAGACTTACTAGTTTCTCGTCTATGTTTTGATCCATAAAGAGATATACTCTTTATAAGACCCATTAACTTGACTCATTATGATATTGGAGTTCCTGTTATATGGCTTTTGAATGTAAGTCAAGATGTCTGAATCTTGATTTCAAGTTGTTTTCTAAACATGATCTACAGGCACAATTGTAACAAGTTCGTTTTCTTTCTACTATTAGAAAGATTCTTGAACAGTGATGGAAATTGTGAGTTGATGAGTACCAGGACTGATATAGCCATTGGAAGTGGATGGCTTGGCTATAGGTACTTGTTGAAAAGCAACTATTTAGACAATATCGTAGCGCAGTTTTGGCATTCTTTTAAGCAACTTGAGTGTATGTAAAATTGACAATACTAGGTGAGAGGCTAAATGTATCCAAAATTTAAAATTTAGTGGAATAGAAGTTCGAAATGGTTGAAGAGGGCACCAACCAAAATAGGATAATCGGGCATCGTTCCATTTCAATACACTAGACGATTCTACCAGAGATTTCACACTATTTGTCAATATTAGGATGAAACAATCTATTTGGTTAAAGAGAGGAGTTCTAAATTGGACTTGACGGGGATATATTCAGAAGGGTGCCTGATTAGGATACGGGAAATTCTGTGATCTGTGTTACTTTGATTTGGAGGAAGGAGCAAATGATGCTAAGATAGGACTGGTCTCATTTAGTGTTTTGTTCTTGGTGTTTCTGGTGTTGAGCCAGTCTTCATGCTTCTGAACTCCATTCTTTCTCTGCTTTCTGGTGGTTGACTGGTAAGGGTCAAACACGAGGAAAGAATAGATTTTTTTGACAATTGTGGACTTTATCTTATTTTATGTCATTGGGAAATTTGTTGGGTCTCAAGTTTGATTTTATCATTTTCTGCAAGTGATTGTAGATTGCTTTATAAGATAGATATAAATTATGTTTTTCTTTTCTTTATCATTCGTTTGCCCAAATCTTGGTTATGGGAAATGCCTGAGAAGTGGAGGCACCAAAAATATGATTCCATTAGTCCAATGGTTTGGATCTCTTAAGCATTGATGTTGCAGTTGGAGAACCAACCCTGTAGAACTTGGATACTAATGCAGAGTATGTAGCAGATGTGTCAGAATATGAAAGGAAGTACGTACTCACCATGCTTCCAAAAGCTTGAGTAAGATATATGCATAATTTGTAAGCATCATTTCATTCACATAAGCCATTTTCAGAAAAATGGATACTACCGAATTGGAAAAAATGCTTATCGTAAGATGCTTCTTATATATAAATAATGAAAACGTTAAGCTTTTAAGTTTGGAAATTTGGTTTTCTTCTGTGTATAGAAAACTCGGATATCACTTACATACATGTTTCGAAGGGTATTTCTTGATACACTCCCATGAAAATATTAACAAATAAAGTTTGAAGGTTATGATTTGGCTTTAAACTAGAAGATATTCAACTGAGCCTGTGAATTCTCGAATAAAAATGCAAGAATACCTTATGCATAATTTTTTGTCAATTCTTTTTTATCTGATTGTCTACCCATCCTTTTCACACTAATTTTACCTGATCCTCACAGTTACCAAGTGGAATATTGACTTGTTTTAATGAAGTTTTCTAACTCCTTTTATACTTGCTATTTTCTTTGTGTTTAGGAGGATTTCTTGTGCATTATATTTTCCCTCTCATGTATTAATTATGCAAAACCTGTAGTTTGCAAAAGAAATATGAAACGAGGAGCTGTTCTTTGGATTTAAACTGTTATCAAACCAGCAATTTGAAATTCTTTTTCCTTTTAATCTAACTCATCTGATCAGAAGTAGTTAAAGACAACTTTTGGGTATCACAGACCAGATCAAGACAAGAAATGTTAACAGCAAGTACCAATGATAGATCACAATTATTTACTTACTTCATTAAACCTTACCCTGTTTTTAGGGCTCCTTTAAATTTGCTCTTCTAGAATATGTGATTGGCCTCATATAGAGTGCACCCGGTTCAATTTTCAACCAACCAAGCACCTAGTTGATTGTTCAGATACAACCTTCTGTATTTTCTCTAATGGAAATGAAATTTCATAATCCGTTTCGCAAGATACATTTGTATGATCTATTTTAGATGACATTTAGATATAGCCATGTGTTCTATGTTGGATGTGTAAAAGATTTTCTACATTAGTACGAACATGCTTGGAGATTTTCCATTTGTTTTTTCAAGTATCCATACATAGAAGCTTCAAGTAGTTTTGGTTTGCAATGAAGGTATATAGATACCAAGTCCAAGGGAGACAATATTAAATTTCTCTTGATTTCAATACAATATAACTCAATTATACCAAATTTTACATTATCAAATACAATTGCAGCCAGTAAACTTGACCTCAAATACACTTATAAAATAAAATAAGACTCTAATTGGTCCCTTGCCTTAGTCCATGACACAATATACATTAAGAAAATTGATTAAGCACTTGATCATACACATGAACTAACAAATATATTTCCAAATTATACATAACCTTGGAATTACATCATAAACTTTAAATTCAAACTCCTTTCTCTACCAAATATAAATATTGTGTGTGTGCTTAAAATTTGATCTCGAGAAACCGATCATAGAGCCCATTTTCCTCGGTTTACGCCTTTGAGTCGTAGCTATGTGCTATGGCAATAGCAACATCAAATAGGAAAGCCTTTAAGCATCCTATCATCTAAAGAGACATTCTAAGATATGAGAGGGCTTAACACAATAGATTCAAAACCATTGGATAAAGTAGGAGGGAAATGAAGCACAAATCACTCTCAATTTGATGAGAAAATCAATAACATAAGTATGGAGATTAAGACATAAATCTTCCTTTGAAAATCTCTCCAAAACAACCAATTAGAGAGTGAATCAATCTATTGATATACAGTTGAAACATAGAAGAATTTGCAGAGATCAGATGATTAAAACAAATGGAAAAATCATGGGAGAAATCGTAGCTCTCAAACACAAAACATGTTCATAGAGTTCATATATCGAGCCACATAAATCTGGTATAATTACCTCTTGAAAAACAAAAATTTGATGCATGAAAATGAATATCTAATTAATTGATTTGGTTGTAAAAATATTAGAGAAATATCAGTAAAAAAAGCTCAAAAAATCACATAGAAAAGCTCATAGAAACTAGATCAATTTGTGCATGGATGATGCCTTCAACTATATAGATCAAAGGGAACCAAAGCAGATCAAAAAAATCAATGATCTAACATCAAATAGATGAAGGAAGCTTGCTATAATTAAGAATTTACAGTAAGGAGAATTAACTAGAAGTAAAGAAAATTTTTGGTATTTTTTTATGTGAGCCCCAATTTTTATAAAAAATTAAAAATAAAATACCTTGAGGCATTGTATCTAAGATAAAGCGGTGAGTGGCTCACTTGAACAAAATTTGATGGGTGGATGGTAGGGGAAGCATAGATCTTCTATGTTGAATGTTGAGGCATAGATCTTCCATGTTGAAGTATAAAAACATTTCCCTTTATAATATATTGAGTGTAGAGATATTTTAGATGTGTTTTAATCTTGACTATTGAAGACCAACATCCATTACTACAAAGAAAGGCTTGATCCTAGCCCATACACTATCGTGCCATCTTGATGTGTGGTGTGGATTTAGCACCCTTGTCATTTTTAATAACCATAATTCACTTTAGTTTCCCTTGCATAAAATATATTTGTTCTCATAAAACCAAGTTGGAAAGCATATTCTTGAAGTAATTTGTCAAAATTTTGGCAAAAAGTAAATTTCAAAACCTCCCTCCATTTTATAAGAGCCATCTAGGGCTAATCAAATTATACCACGTAAACTAGGTGGTTGAGTGCACAATTACCACATACCATTAGGGTTTAGCTTGGAATTACAAATCCTATGCCCCTTCTAGAAGAGATCTTACATGCACATAAATCACTTGCTTTTCACATTTAACATATGTCAAAATTAATTTTCTCAATTTTTAGAATAACAAAAAATCCAATATTACAAAATATAACCCCGCATAACAAAATACACAATGACCTAGAAGGTCACCATGGGAATAGCGTCAACCCCACATCGTCTCCACGTGTGATTGATGTGGAGGCCCCCATGCCCCACATGGACGCTTATGGGCCATTTAGATATCCCTTGTGGGTTTTGGAGGTCTGTTTTTAGTCGTAATTTTACAAAAATAATTTCAAAAAACAGGTTTTCTTGCTCAAAAAAATCTAAAAAACCTTCAAACAAGCCATAAAAATAATTTCAATTTTTTCCATCAACCATTTTCACAATATTTAAAAATATTTCTAAAGAAAATTAGGATCATATGGATCTGAGTTAGGACTAGAAACACTCCACTTGGCTAGTCCCAGAATCCAAAGCCACCTTCTTGGTATGACCCAACATACTTATGACCTACAGTGTATAATTATGGGCTCAAGATATTAGGCTATCAAAGTCAAACCAATGAGTGACCATGAATTTTTAAGTACTAATGAATTTCAAGTGCACCCCTTGGAGGACATGCACACACAAGGTGCAGGAGTTCTT